AAACTAGGAACAGGATGAACTATTTAACTATTGCTGCTGGCAAAATTAGTATAGCTGATAGCTGTTCAGCAAAAGTGTAAAATTGGATAATTACCTCACAAGATCTATAAAATAAATTCTAGAATGGTTTAGAATTAAATGTAGAAATAGAAACCAAAAAACTAAAATAAAATGTATGTACTATTAAAATAATCATGGAGTAGAGATTTTCTAAACAGAAACCTTAAGGAAAAGATTAAGACTTGACCATACAAAATTTTTAAACTTTCCTATAACAAAACACACTATAGACAATATTTTTTTAATACAAAGGGCTACCTTCCTTATATAACAAGCTCTTCAAGGCAAGAGATAAAATCTATTAAACACATAAGTATCCAGCATAGCTAAATGAAAATGTAAACAGGAAGATAAAACTGGCAAACTTTTCCCTTAGAGCAACCTAAATCTAGCAAACGTCTTAAAACTGCATTCTTCATACCAGCAACTCTGAGGAAATTAATGTATATTGGCATGTATGTGTATATTTTATATGAATTTTTATCATATTGTTATTTGTAACAGAAAAGTTAAAAATTTTGTGTCCAGCAATAAGAAATTGTTAAATTATGGTTCTTCTATAAGGGAATAATCTACAACCATTAAAGAGAAGACAGAATTAACTGACTGACATAGAAAGATGTTCACAATATATTATTAAATGAAAAAATTCAAATTTTGAAGCTATGGGCAGTATAATCCCATTGCTTTCGGGGGGAAAAAAAAGATATGCACTCATATTCATCTAAGGCAAAATATTAATGGTGGTTATTTCTCGGTGTTCTCTATGTTCCTATTTCCAAAGATGAACAAATTAGAAAGAAAAATTATTCCAGGTTTTAACCTTAGACAAAAAAATCTGGCATAGTGGACATCTTTATCAGATTAGATTATTTCTATCAGTCTGTTCTGTACATAAGAGGAAAAAAAAAAAAGAAAAAACCAAGGATGAAAAAATGGCCTGGGATTCTCGTGGCAGTTTATTTACAGACTATCAAATACAGGTTTTTTGTTTTTGTTTTTTAAACAAATGGCTTATATTAAATACATTAGGTTTAACAGTTACAAGACTTTGCTAAAAGTTTTTGCAAAAGAATTTATCTTTACAACAAATTAACTGGGAAAAAAATTTAAAGAGTGATTATTCACTATAGAGCCACATTTGAATACAATTAGAACCAGAAAATGTTTTTAACGGGACATTTATTTGATAGGGTAAAGTAAGTTAAGACCCACAAATTTGTTAGTCTACATAACTCAAAAGTTAAGTTCTTTCTATTATGATCAAAATGTTGTTCTCCTTAGATTCAATGGATCCCACAATAGCTTATTATTAGTAGCTTTCATTTTTAAGAAAACTACAAACATGTAAGAAATTATCTGGAGAAGCCCTTGGTAAATGACAAATTATTGCTCTCCATATAAAACCACTTGTAATATAAAATTTTGAAAGAATCAAGCAAATTATGCTTACAAGCCTGCTGATGCCAGTCTTCCTCATACAAACAAAACATATTTTAATCAAAGACTCAGCCTTATTATCTGTTAGATATTTAACTATCTTTAAAAACAAATAGGATCTTCATTTTTACAAACTATCCATGTATGAAACAAACAGCCCCTACAGGTATCTAATTAGTTTTCAAAAATTTTGCTTTCCTATTTTTTCTGAATGAAAATCATTTTTTCTTAAGCAGACTTTTTAAAGCTACTTGTAATTAAGACATTAGTCCAATATTCTAATTTAACACTGGTCAGAGTATTAATAGACAATTCTCCTATTAAAAAGTTAAGCATTTACTGTAGAATTTAGGTACAGCTTGAGAAGCAAGCACTGGGACAACCCCCTCAGGTCCCCTCCCACTATGGAAAGTTCTGGCAATCCATCTTTCCAAGCCTCATTTTTCTCAGTTGTAAAGTGGGAAGAGTGATTAGATAATTTTCAGTTATTGGGACATCTTGTTCAGACTTTAAAAATATGAAAAGGATATTATATCCCAGGGAAAAAAGGATATTATATCCCTGGGAATTGGGATATATTATCCTATATTCAAAACTGTACTTCAGCTTTACTTAAAACTAAAACAAAAAGGCCCTAGGGTGAAAATCCATCAAAACTGGATTAAGCTCATAGCAAATACTGCAAACCCTTAACTCGCATGTTCCAGTCAGATTAATTTGGAAGCATTTACTCATTTGCTTTTCATTTTTCTCAAAAAAGTCTTGGTATTTCTTACAAGTAGGCCAATTGCAAACTGTCCAGACTCAATTTAAAATTTGTTTTCTTCACTTAATTTTCAGTTCAGTGAACATTTCCAGAACCTTATTTTTCAATTCAAATTTCAATTTAAAACATCATAAAGACACTCAAATGTTCATTTCTTACATTCACTTAAGTGCAATTTAGATACAGCTGAGGACAGAAAATATCACTAGCTTCTCTAGACATTTAAAAAATCTTGCTGCCAGCCCTCTAGAAATATGATTTAACATCTCTCACGTTTATTGATGTATCCTATCCCAAGGACTACAATAGTCCCTGGCACAATGAAGGCACTGAACATATATTTGTTGACAGAATGAAGCTCTGAATCACAACTCAAGTATTACCTTAATTCACATTCCATAAACAATTTTAATCAGTAAACCCCTTAAAACGAGTATTTTAAAATTTCACAGGTGGCTGCAACTCTCCAACAAATAACGGATTGAAGACTTGGGAAACATACTGAGTTGCATGCAGACAAATCTGCTGTGTCAGGAAATGCAAAAGGGAATTTCACATGGGAGAAGATAAGTATGTTCTTCTTTTGGTAGGTCGATCTTTTCTGTTTTCTTATTTGCAATCTGACTTACCTTCTTTCCAAAAAACATAAGCAATATTTTATGTTCCTTAGATTTTACTCATGAATACTCAGTGATTATTGCTGTTATAACCTGCAGAACTAGTGACTTCCCAACTCTCTTTTTAGTAATCCAAATTCACTGAATTAAAGTATTAAATGTCATGGAGGAAAGCATTAAGATTTTTACTATCATATTTCATCAATTATAAGACACATTCTTATGTTTCTGAATCTGGGATGTACCTTACAATTGATGACATCTTAGCATTGTGTTGTGGTTTAATTGGCAGCATTTCTTCTTCTAAGAGGTATACAAAAAGTCGGTATGTCTCACAAGCAATGCTGTCTTAGGATATTAGAAGCTATACTTCAAAATTTCAATTTCAAAGCAACAATTTCCCTGTCCTCCCAGTCACTCTCCCAACATAAATATGCAACTAAAATGTTTCATTAGAAAAACTATCCAAACACAGTTCAATTTCATATAAAATATTTAATTTTTAAAACACAGGCTATTCATGTCACATAAATATCTTCAACTGTAGGTTAGCTGCTTATGGTCAGCAGAATTATCAAGTGTGACTATTAAGAATAACTTAGATACTGTCACTTATAGGAAAGTCTAAAGCTCTAAGACTCACCATATTAAAATTCCAGATACTTGAATACTGTAGCTATTTTGCTAAATTTCAAAATATTTCTTCGCTTCCTGCAATGTAGCTTATTATAAGTTGTTAGTAATCAATATTCAAATAAGAGCAAATAACTTTTTCTTCCATTCATTTCTTTCTCCCCAACAAAAAAATTCCACCAAAGAATAAAATGGTCAACTGATGTCAACTTATTTTATAGCATTAAAATGGCAAATTATCCTCTTCAAAATATTCTCTTATTGTCACCCAACTATAATGCTTCCCACATAGTTTTGAAATGAAGGTTCACAAGACAAAAAGAGGGCACAGGGTTAATTGGCTTTAGAACTGGAGCGATGACCATTCTATAACAGTTGTTCCAATTTAAGATGCCAGTAAAAAGTTACCAGAACAGTTAAAACAAAATGGTTAATTGGCACAACTCTAACTTCCAGAGTCTATTTTCCCATTTAGTGATAATGGAAACACTGGCTTTTTACCTTTGGTTCCTTTCTAGAATTATTATAATTGTGTGTGTGTGTGTGTGTGTGTGTGTGTGTGTGTGTGAGAGAGAGAGAGAGAGAGAGAGAGAGAGAGAGAGAGAACGCACGCATTCAATGAGACTTGACACCATTACAGTTTAAATAAGGGTTACTCCATTCTTTGTTGCTCTTAACAAAAAAAAAGTTAAAATGAACTAAAGTTGCTCTAAGTCTGGCAGAAATCATAATAAACTTTACAGAAGGTGAGAGGAAGGAAGATAAGAGGTTCTCTCTCACTACCTTTTCTTTTTGCTTCAATAAATTCAATCTAGACAATGCTTTTTGTTAACAAGTACAGTGAATAGAGCTTTTTCTTTAAAAAGCAACTGCATAACTTAAAATATGGTTTGCTACCCCTCCCCTCATGAACTTTAATACCTTTATGAGAATTTAGTTATTAACCCTTGCTTCCATACTATTGCTGTCCAGTTATGCATGGCAAATGGAAACAGGGACAATGTCGTGGTTGCCTGAAACAAAATGGTATTCTAAAATTCTCAGTTATTACTTTCAACCATTTAAATGACAAAACTTTTTAGAACATCGCAGAAGTAACAAAAGGTACTGATTGCAGTTCTACTCCCTTTCTTTACTCTCACTCTCCCAACAACACAAGGCGGTAGTGGAAGACAACACAGCCCAAAGATAGGCAGAAAAGGAGAAAGCATGACAGGCAGAGGGAATGGACTTAATAGGAACTGAACAGGCAGCCCCTGAAAACTTACTTGAGAGGGTCCTGCCTTTTCAATACATTGATTCCCTTTAAAAGACAAATGGGGGTAACGGTTAACTACTTTTTCAGACCTTAAGCTTACCTGTTAAGGCACTTACTTTCCCTCCCCACCCCACCCATATTTTTCATATAAAACCCACTATTTCATTTGGATGTATTTTGCTATGCTATGATAATCTGCAAAACAAAACAAAAATAACGTTAACCATTTTTTTTTTATAAAACTTTGCATCAAGAGAAAGGTTGTGTTTTATTTTCTGAAATGAGCACAAAGTACACCTTTCACAATAACACTGAAAGCAGGTGCAAAGACTGACAGTGACCTTTGACTAAAGGTAGCTTTGTAAAAAGAAAAATACCAAATAAATCAGTGCCCTTTCTGATTGTTGTAAAACTGGAGTGGGGGGCAGGGAGGGGCTGTTTGTTACATAAAAGTTGGTCCAAACTTACAAAAAAAGCACAAATGTGCATAGTTCAGAAGATCTGCAAGAGGGTCATAAAAGGCTTATGTCCCTATTATTAGCATCCACTTAAAACTGCAAGAATACAAAATAAAACTGTTAACTAGAATTTGTGAAGATGTACAATTGATAGATCTAGTTTAGAACAGCATGAATTTAAGCAAAGGTTTTTTTTGTCTTTTTTTAAACTATTGTATGCAAGACCCTTCTCCACATAAAAATAAAGCTGTTGTTGAATTAATATTATTCAAGTCTCTTGGATTGCTGCCTTAAATTGCAGCTAGAAAAGTCTTTCCAGATAAAAATGATGTGCCTGAGGAAAAACAGATACTCAGTACGGTAACCCTCTGCCTCGACCTCTGCCAGCTGATGTGCTAATGTGTCCCCTGTATCCTTGTGAATATCCTGGCCCCTGTGCAGGAGAAGTCCAGGTTTGTCCATGCATGAGGCTAGGGCCACCCGGGTTTTCTTGTAAGTTACCACCATAATTATAATTGTGCATCTTTGCTGGCAAAGGATGAGTACTCTCTGGCCCTGTGGAAGGGTCACCGCTGTTTGCCAGGACTGCAATAGGACCATGGCTATATTCAAATCTATGGTCCTTGTCTCCACTAAACAACATGGGACCAGTATTGAGGTAAATGTCTCCATATCCGGCTACTGAACTGGGAAATGACTCAGAAAAGGCAGAAGGCTGAGGTGGACCAGCAGAATGAGATGAAGCAGTACTGTAGTTATCCAAAGACTGAACATCTGAGTTTCCAATGAAGCTACGTCTTTCCAAAGGTGGAGCAGAACTGCTTCCTAGACCATCACTGCTTACATAAGGAGCAGAAGAGAAGGAAGAGGATCCAAAATTGTCCTTGTAGTCTGAAGGGGGCACATAAGTGTCTCCTGCTTGATAATCAATACCACCTTCTCTTTTGGGATCATCCGGGGGCTGATGCTGAGCAAGCAGCTGTAACAGAGCCGCTTTCACTCCAGCATGAGGGTCAGTTAGCGAAGAACTAGTGGTGGGTACATGCTGGTTTTCTGTCCGATAATCCAGATCCTCCTCAGTGACTGGTGGTGGTTCAGGAGGTTCAGGAGGTCGTTGATCAGGAGGCAAAATTCGAGGCCGGTCTGGTTCTGGGGTTAGCTCCAATATTCTCATGTCTTGGTGCTGGATGAGGTCATCTTGCCCTAAGTGAAGCAAAGCAAAAAGCAAGTCAAAAGTTACCATGGAAAACTAAATATTCAAAATAGTCAATATTTCTTGTGGGTGGTCCTAAAGATGATCAGAAGTGTCATTGCTGGCAAAATACTAAATGAAAAACATTTACAAATACTAGCGTTTCCTGCTACTATTTAAATAAGTCTATGGTAACTGAAAGATTTTATTGTATTTGGATTTTATTTCTTTTTAAAAAAAAGTGTGTGTGTATGTATAGAGATGTGGTCTCACTATATGCATAGGCTGGTTTTGAACTGGGTGATCCTCCTGATTTGGCTTTCTAAGTAAATAGGATTACAGGTGTTAGTCACTGTACCCAGCCTGTATTTTTGCAGGTAGTTCATACACCTATTTATTGCTTGAGGAACAAAAGCTACTGTGTACATAAAGTTTTTGCCTGAAGCATCCTTTTGTATTTAGAGTGAAAGATAATTTCTTCACCATAGGCTTACCTTAGAAAAATGTCTAGCATTCATAGGGAGTTATATATCTCTCATAGATAATTTGATAAAGAATCACACCTGGGAGTAGACAGTCTATGAAACTGGCCTATCACCAGTAACCTGAGAATCTCCCAGCGATGTCACTGAACAATACACATTACAGATACTCAAAAACATCAAGAAGACAGTGTGGATGCAGGTGTTAGCAGTCTGCCCACTCACCCGACAGCGGTGTGCTAGGTTCTGGAGGTGGTCTGAGCTGTAATGATGCTTCATGTCCCGATCCATTTTCCCTCTCTTCTAGCAGCACATCTTTCTGCTTTGACTGCTGAGCCTTTATTAACTGAGTCAACAGAACTGCAAATGCGCTCTGCACAGCGGCCTGGGCAGCATCAGTCTCCACTTTAGGCTGGATGGTCTGAGAAGGCTGAATTCCTCCCAACGGTTTCGAAGACTCCTGTTGTGGTGTTGATGGATCTGTCTGTTTTTCACCTGTTGCCAAAATTCCAGTAGGAAGGTTTATTTTATTTAGCTGCTGTTGAGTCTCAGAGATTACCTTAATGTCCAACACTTGGACAAAATCAGTCACATTAACACTTGTTTTAGATTGTAGTAGGTTTAGCAGAATTGCCAATTCACTGTGGTTAAACTGCTGTCCAGGGCCTGTTTTTACTAAAGACAAAATCTGTATTAATTAAAACTGCCACAATTCAGAGTTTCTCCCACCCCCCAAAATGGCTCTGTATTACTATATTAAAAGGCACATTTGAGGGAGAGTGTTTTAAAAAATACTGTAAAAAAAAGAACCTCAGTCTAGTTCAGTATCATGTACATTTAAGATGCACCTACACATAAAACAAACAAAAAGAACTGTGGTCAATTTTGAATAAGTTACCTTTAAAGGTCAAATAAGTCAAAAGGAAAATCAAGACTAGCACTACAAACTCATGCTACAGATTTAACCAGGAAGTAGTACCTTGTGAATGAGAAATGAGTAATGATAATTATGATAGCTAACAAAGTATAGGCACTTTCTAGACATTTTATAACCTTTATTCCTTATAACCAACTTATAAAGTAGGCTGCATTATTAGTCTCCTTTTACTGAGAAGAAACTGACACCCAAAGAAACTAAATAACTTGCCCTATTATCACAGAATTTTTTTTTTTTTAGTTGGGAACTCACTCTGTCACTGTGGCATGATCATAGCTCACTGCAGCCTTGACCTCCTGGGTTCAAGCGATCCTCCTGCCTCGGCCTCCCAAGTAGCCAGAACTATAGGCATGTGTCACCACAGCTGGCTAATTTTTTCATTTTTATTTTTTGTAGAGATGGGGTCTCACTATGTTGCCCAGGCAGGTCTTGAACACCTGGCCTCAAGCAATCCTACCCCTTTTGCTTCCCAAAGTACTAGGATTATAGGCATGAGCCACTGAGCTCAGCCAACATCACAGATTTTAAGTGGCAAAAGTGAGATGTGAACTGAGACACTCTGATTCTAGAATATGAGCTCTTTACTGCCACACTGTTCTGCTTCTCTAAAATAAAGTTGACTGTCCAAGAACCTAACCCTATCTTTGCACTAACTGGAAACTAAGATGTTTTGCAGACTCTGATAAAATGTCTGTGTTTTTTATTCCAATTTTTTTTAAGTTAAGTCACCTTCTGTAAGTTAAGAATGCCTACAGAAACATGATTACAAGCATATATGACAGTATTAACTTGTCATCAGTAAAGCAGATTTGGATGTTTTACTTTTTCCAACTTTCAGTTTAGACTGGGTATAATTTACATAAGTCCTTGCCCAAACTTATTAAAGGAATCATAATAACACTATATATGGTAAGCATAAGAAGACTGATAAGCAATTGCTATAACCACAGAAGAGGAACTCTAAGAAGATGAAAAATTGATGATTCACGCTATCTTTCATATTCTCTTTATATATTTTAAGATACTTATACAAATTCTCATGACTCATGAGCATTAAAAAGGAACCGGGCTTGTTTGCTAGATCCCAAGAGCCATTTTTCCTCGTTTGCCTTTTCATTTTCCTGTTAGCTAGTCTCTCCATGTGTACTCAAAGATGTACTCTTTTAAAGAAGAGGCATTTTCTTATTTCAAGATACTTACCAATGATGGAAGATTCATCTCCATTTCAAAAACCAGAATTCTCACTTAATAGTGACACTATTTAAAAATAATTAAAAGGAAAACAAAAAAATACAACAAAACTTTCCACCATAAATAGGGTTGTAAAATAAATTAGAGCAAAGTAACAACAAAATGAGCTCAGAAAGGGAGGGCAATTCACCTTTTACCAGCTAAAACAGAGTGAAATAACTAACCTCTATTTTATTTTGCTAGCAAAGTAAGGACATCAGTTCCATGACGAGGAGCAGAAATAAAGACCTGAGAGTCTTGGTAAACATGACAACTATTACCTGGGACAACTGACCACCATCTAAACTTTCTATTACTGCCATCTCAAGTCTTTTTTTTAAAGCAGTACAGAAGATGATACAGAAAACATATAAATACAAATTAAGAAAACTTACTGTTGCTTCTTTTGCCTTTCTCCAAATTTTACATAATTTTAACATAAACAGAAATAATATTGAACTTGATGCAGATAGTCCTCATTGTGTAAAACAGATGTGTTCTCCAAAGCTATGTGTGTATCAAATATTTTCACATATAAAGGAAATTCACTATTTTAAGAAGGAATATTTTTGAGCAGCAAATAACAGCTGCCTCTAGTTTTTAAAGAATGAATATTTTAAATATGTAGTCTAACCAAAGTCAAGAATAAGCTTGTAGACCACACTGGCAAGCATTATTGGTAATCTTTCTCAAGATTTCTGAGCTAATCTATTCTATATTTATACTTGATCACCAAAAGCTCAATCTGATTCACAGATCTGTCTTAATCAACTAACTGACAAGTCAACATTTACTCATGTCTTAATGATTGCTTGCCTATTTTCTCACGTTTAATAAACCACCACCTATACAAAACACTTCTTAAAAATAACAGGCTCTGTCTTCATTAAAAAAAAAAAAAAAACTTAAAATAAAGCTGAATGTTTCTGGATTATTGGGACAAAATGAGGGAGTGGATTTACAACCCTTCTGACAACATTGAAGAGGCTGACTTCTCTCTCAGGAAGCTTACTCTTTTTTTTTTTTAGTTGAAGTCTCACTCTGTTGCCCAGGCTGGAGTGCAGTGGCACACTCATGGCGACCCAGAATCAACCTGCTAGGCTTAGGCAATCCTTCTGCCTCAGTCTTCCAAGTAGCTGGAACCACAGGTGTGCGCTACCACACCTGGCTAATTTTTTATTTATTGTGGAGATGAGGGCTCACTAAGTTGCCCAGGCTGGTCTCGAACCCGTGGGCTCAGGCAATCCACTCGCCTCAGCCTCCCAAAGTGCTGGGATTACAGGCTGAGCTACTAAACCTGGCCAAGAAGCTTAGTCTTATGACAGATTGAATCAGAGGAGGAAATTTAAGTTTCCCCAAAACAACTAGATATAAAGTATCCTTCTTTATCATATTTTAGTTCATTTTTGACACAAATATCAGATTTCAATCTTTGAGATTCTCTAATATAACAGGGGAAATATATAACATTAAAAGTGATCTAAGGATATAAACTGCATGAAAGAACTTGCATTATGTTTTTTGGCTGTCTTCCTATATCTTTTTTCCTACTCCTTAAGCATCTGTAGACCCCCTGAATGTTGAGTCTCTGATTCCTGCACTAGGAACAAAAGGAAATAGAGTAATGAAACTTCTGTACTGGCATACAAAAAAAGTCTAGTTCAATGAATAAAGCTTAAATTTACATCTTTTAGCCACAAGATGCTTTAACACTAGAGCAATATGATCAATATTAACCACAAAGCAATATGAAGAAAACCAATCCATGGAAGCATTACTGACCAGGTGCTACATTTGAGTTGCCCTGAGATTTCAGTTGTGAAGATGGCAGCACACCCTGGGGTGTGTTAGTTCTGCTGTCATCTAAGCCCAGAGACAAGTCCTTTCTGGGGGCTTTAATAGTTGAGACATCATCAGTCATGCCCATCTGCTTCTGTCTCCTTCGCTTTTTACTCCATAATTCATGACAATCTTGCCATAATGGAAGGCTGAAAAAAATATATATAAGCATTAAACTGTGAATGGCATTTCTTAAGAAAAAAGAAAGAGCTAGAATTATTGTGTAGTGCCAAAGTCACCCCCCTTGCCCCAAACCACTGAAGACTTCATATACCATGGTGGTCTTTGTAAAACTCCCCCAGTAAAACCATCCTTGGTGACCCACCTCCTTCAGGGTTTCACCTTTACAGATTAACTATTTTTTTTTGCCTTCTGAATAATCAATAAATTATCATTTATCAAAATTATAAATGAAGAATATATATCCATAAAAATAGTCTACTGTTAGCCTTGGTGCAACTTTTTAAAGCCAATTCTTATCATAGTACATAAGACACTGAAAAAGAAGGCAGAAAAACATGCCGTTTGCAGAAACTAGACACAGGATTAAAAAAAAATTAGTAAAAGACTAGAACATAATGTTTGTGAAAATCCTTATAGTAAAAGCTTTTTACTTTTTGGTAACTTATTTGCTTCTGCATCCAGATGCTTTAGAATTAAACTGATGCCATAGATGAGCTTTAAAAATAGGTGATCCAGTCACAGAGAGACTCATCACTCATCAACTATGAGTTCTGAATACCTAGCAACTATCAAAATTACCCACAGTTCTTAAATAATTCTTCGATAATTTCATAAAACTGAAAACACTACAGAATAACTTTTGCTTAAAGATATAAATATTTGATTTATAAATGTTTTCTTCTTGCCCTAATAAAAAATTCAATGGAAAGTTACTACTGAATCTATTTTAAATATGAGAAACTTGAGGCTTGGAAAGGTTAATAAACTTGCCCAGAATGTCTATAAATTCCCTTAAGCAACCCCACCTGGTAATATATACCTGCAGTTCTCAACCTGAATGTTTACCTCTAGGGGTACATGAAGACTCTCCAAGGGGGTACACCTGGAATTTTTAAAGGAATTTCCATATCCATATGTCCTGTTTCCTAAGACTGAGCTTTGAGAATGGCCTATACGTTCAAGCAAGTTCTTCTTTCACACCTCCTCTTTCACAATTGCTTTTATGTTATAAAATAAAGGCAGATGCAACAATATGGTTGAATCTTAGCAATATAATATTAGTTAAAAAGGTCATTCCCAAAAGATTACAAACAGCACGACACCTTTTTATAAAATTAAAAACAACTAAAAATTCAAAATATGACCTTTTATGAGAACATACAGATGGCGACAAAAAGTAGATACAAAAGAAAACAGGGATGACGGTTACCTCGGGTGGAAGAAGGCAAAGGGATAGGTTGGTGGAGGAGGGGTTATGATATGATTAAAGTAGGTTATTTTCAAGGTTTTAGCTTTTTTTGGTAGGTTCATGGCTGCTTATTAACATTATTTAAAATAACTAATTAAAGTAACTAAAATAAATAAAAGAGAGCCATGCATGGACCAATGATGAGTGACACAAGAATTATGATTAAACCAAGTCTATGCACCTGAGGTCCAAAAACAAAACAAAGGCATACCTCTCAGCCATCTTACTATGGTGCATTGCCTCAGCGTGTAAAAACCTCCTGGAGTAACAAACAAAGGGACAATTTGAAATATTGATATTGGGAAGCTTTAAGGCATCATAAACCCGTCAAAGACTTTTCTTTCTGTGTGTGTATATATGACAAGGGCCTTAGCCTCTGTTGGGATACTCTGAATTCAGATATGCTATAGTACTGCAGAGTAAGGTAAATGGAGTGGCTCTACCTCATCCATCCTGATGGTCAGGGAATGCAGTGCTCTTGTGGGAGAGTCAAGGAGAGCAAAAGCAAGTCCACTAAAGGGCTTTTGTTCCCTCCCACAGTTTAAAGTTAAGAAATTCTTGATTGGATGATCTCAACACTCATCTCTAGGAAAGATAATATTACCAATAACTAGCTAAAACAGTACAGATTAGTGATGTGGATTCTTTTAGATGTACCGGGAATGTTTTCCTTATGACCAAACTTTAGGCGCTTTCTTGAAGGTTCAAATACCAGCTCAGTCACTTACTGTGTCTCATTAGGTAGGTTACTTGACCTCTGTGTCTCAGTTTCCTTGTCTTTAACAATGGGATTAACAATACTGTCTACTTCATGGGGTAGAGGTAATATATGTTAACATTTGTAAGTTCTGGGACAGTGCCTCTCCTATAGTAGGCTAGTACTACATTCATGTTTAATATCACTGATTATCATTCAGTAAAGTAAGTTTATAACTATTTTCATCAAATCATATCATGAAATATTTACTCCAACAATAGTTGATCATGTTTTTCTTATAAACTGTTTAATGCTTCATTTGATGTTAAAAAAATAAAAGTATAGGCTAGCTACCAGCCTAATTCACTTTCTAGCTATATATACTTTGTTTCCACAAAATACATTTTAAAAGTTTGATAGGACATCTAATACAATTAATAAAGTTATTTCTGATTTTTTAAAAATACCCCACTCATATTTGATTGTTCCTAAAAAGCTAATCAAGAGTTTGATACATACACCACATTTCTTCATAGTTCTTACCTCATAAGTTATTTATAATTTTACTCAGCATGTTACAAAATAATAAGAGATGCTATGTTGCTTAAAAACTTTAAATTTAGATACGGGATCAATAATCATGATAACACTGGCCTGACAGCTTTAGTAATATATCTGACAATTCTGCATTCCACAGTTTATTACAACAGATGGTTCACAAAATGTTATTCAAATGTATATTAACATATTTATTTTTTAACGGAAAAATGCAGTCAGGTGTGTTCTGATAAAATTAATTGAAATATGTACTACCAACATTTGTGATGACAATTTAATAAAAGAGCTTTATAGTCACAGGAAATGTTTTAAATTTAAATTTCCATTTATTTTCATAATTTGTTTTAAATTAAGTACAATTCAGTAATCAGTAAAATACTTTTAAGCATAAGTTATGTTACATTAGAATAAAAATCTGTGGGAATAATAGAGGTTCAGGATGGAAAAAGGAATAATGTCCAACTGCTGAACATTTTCTAAGTGACTATTGGTAAATATCAAAATGCTATATTTACATTCCACTGGATATATTTACAAGATGTAACTGCTCTAACTTAAGACACCCATATTTACAAATCATTGAAAACTACACTTTTTGAAACTACTTAAATATTTGATTTTAAAATGTGTAGATGTCAACTGAAAACATGCTTCATACAGTTTTGCCCCAATTCTTTCATATGGACCCTAACTAAAGCAAGAGATCAAAGTTAGCATTACCAACAATGGACAAAATAACTCTTGATGTGCCCATCACTATCTAGGTAGTATTCTTGCCTCCATCCCCCCAAATGCTAATCTAATTATAATCACAAGAAAGCAATCAAATTCATACTATGGGCTGGGCTCGGTGGCTCAGCCTATAATCCCAGCACCTTGGGAGGCCGAGGCAAGTGGATTGCCTGAGCCCGCAAGTGCGAGACCAGCCCAGGCAACTTGGCAAGACCTCGTCTCTACAATAAATCAAAAGCTAGCCAGGCACAGTAGTACGTGCCTGTAGTTCCAGCTACTTGGAAGGCTGAGGCGGAAGGATCGCCAGAGCCCAGCAGGTTGACATTGGGGTGGCCGTTGAGCGTGTGTGCCCACTGCACTCCAGCCTGAGCGATGGAGTGAGACTCCAGCTAAAAAAATAAAATAGTGATAATAATTCATATTGTGAAAAGTTTTACTAAACAGCTAGCTTGAATCTTCAAGGAGCGATTAGACTGAAGAGACACGATAAAGAATGCTGAGCTTTATGTAAATTCTTTATCTAAAAAAAAAGTCTATAAAAGAAATTATTGGACCAATTTGGGAAATCTGAATATGAACTGTTCATTAGATATTCCAATGTTAAATTTCTTATGCTTTATAATGGTACTGCAGGCATGTAGAATAAAATCCTAGTTCTTACAGATATGTGATTAAATATTTATAGTGTCACCTCCACAACATAATATTCAACTAGTTCAGGGAGAAAAGTATAGAGGTGATAAAGTAAATTGTCCAAATAGTAATTGTTTAACTAGGTAAAGGTTATATATATAAATGTGCATTGTATTATTTTTTCTATTTTTTTGTAAAGTTGAAAATTTTCCAGATCAGAAGTTTAAAAAAGTTATTTGAAGGGTACTAGAGCCAGAGTTTCAAGACTAATATATACTGATAAGCAAAAAACCAAACAATGAAGCAAAATTAATTCAAGAGTTAATGAGTCAGGTCCCTCATAATGTCAGATGATAGATCCTTCTTGCCTTTCAAATCATCCCATAAAAGTCAAACATGAACAGCTGCAGGAAAACTTAATGAAGTGAATGTAACAGTTTCATATAAATATAATAGGCCAAATCTAACTGATAAGTGGAAGAGCCAGGATTTGAACTCCAGAGCCCATGTTTGATCATTTAAAATATGCTAATTTTATTACATGAAAACATTTTATTATTATTACAGGAGTAGATTTGCTTTTAATGATGCTCCTTATCATCTTAATTTTTTTTTTTTTGAGTTAGGGTCTCACTCTATTGTCCAGTTGGAGTGTAGTAGCATGATCATGGATCACTGCAGCCTCAAACCTCTTGGGCTCAGGCAACTCTTCCCAAGTATCTGGGACTATCGGCACATGCAACCAACTCTAGCTAATTTTTTTTTGTAGAGACAAAGTCTCACCATGTTGTCTACGCTGGTCTCCAACTCTTGGGTTCAAGCAATCCTTCTGCCTTTGCCTCCCAAAATGCTGAGATTATAGGCGTGAGCCACCACACCCAGCCCATTTTAAAAATTACTAAGAAAATACCTACAAGGTTTCTAGATCCTATTAAGAAGAAGAAGAAAATGAACTGTTTTTTTGTCCCCCCTCCAATCTCCCCCAGATCAAGCCTTGAGAAATTACAGGAGCCACGAGAAAGTCAAGGTTCAAGAAACCAGCTAACTCTATACAATGCCCTCCCCATCAGACAACAATTCACTCCATACAGGCTTCTAATACTAATATTCTTTCATTCAATAAGGATTTTCTATCATGTAGTATGCTATGAGTATTTTAAGAATTTCCCTTTCTTATTGGACTAACCTGAATTTGAGAGATGGCTGCATACTTTACAAGATTTGTATTCTTGGGCAAGTTACTTAACCTCTCTAAGCCTTCTTCCTCCTCTGTAAAATGGTGTTAATAATAGTATACCTACCTTATAAGATTATAAAGATCAGTGTAACACATGAGAAATGGTTAGCATATAGCACTTAAAATCTCAGCTATAGCAGTACTAGTACTAGTATAAGTATTTGGTAGAAGTAGTATTAGAATAATAGCGGCAGCAGTAACATTTTCTTAGTTGAAATATATGATTAAATCTTGAGATTAACCCTAAAATTTGCTAGAAGGGTGCTTTTGTTGGTTCTATGGGTAGCAAAACATTAAGCAAGCACCTGCATTCTCAAGGTGTGCAAATTATTTATACTACTGCTGTTTTATATCTTTGTTTTGATTTATTCTATTTCTGTTGACTTAACTAGGTATGAAATGTCTTCTAATTATTATATCTAGATATTGTTAAAACTGTCCAGATTCTGTGTATGTGGAAGCTAATATAATGAAGTCACTTACTCTGGTGGAGGCATTTTTGAGGGCTCCACATCCCGTAGGAACTCACACTGAAGAGCCTGTTCAGCAGTGCAGCGCTTACTAGGATCCAAGGCGAGCATGTAATCAAATAAGTCCAGCGCAGCTGCAGGAATACTAGCATGAAAGGATAAAAAAAGTCATGTATGGTTTTTAGACACAAGCTTAGTCTTTCTTTAGGAGCATAAAATAAATTATTTTTAATTAAATTTAAAAACTAAAATTAAACCAAGAAAATTTAAAACTAAAATTTTAAATACTAACCACTTTATAATATGTATACAATACTTTATTCCAACAAATCCCAATTTTTCCTTTGAAGAAATTATTATTTTTACATGATTTTGTAACTATTTGGCAAGCAACAGTGTATTTTATTATTCCATAGGCAATCTGTTGTTATATCATAAATTAAGAACTGAACAGAATAGCTTCCTAAAAGCAAAATAAAAACTTGAGCTCAAGTATTAATAACATGAAAGCTGTTCCAATAAAATTTAGATAGTATTATCAAAGTTCTTTCATGTAAGCACCAAACCAAGCACACAATCCCAAATCACAGATTCCATGATAGAAAATAATTTGCATATAGTAAAGGGAAACTCAAAATTAAATGACCTAGAAGAATAGTGATAGGTCTACCTCAGGTCACTAAAGAATAGAGGAGAATTTATAATTCATAAGAAATAACTTTTAAAAATTCAATGCAATATGGATATTTAAGCATCCACTTCTTACAAAACAAATTCTTCTCTTAACTTTCGACGATATTGCTTCTTTGGTTTCATGGTGTTGAAATATGGTAGTTTGATTACATCAGGCCACACTGCAGGACACGGACTCCCACATATACGGCTAAGCAACACACAAAAAGAAGTACATCACTATAAACTACATAGAAGGAATAATACATACAACTCTTATACAAAACACCAACTCATTTTTAAGTACATAAAAGTTGAAGTCTTGATGTATAAGACGTTTCATTAAATATCTTAGTCATCCCAATTTATTTGTTTTAAGAAATCAATTTACTTTCAGTGGATGCTTCTAACAATTCAAGCATTCCAATTCCTAGAGACGACCTTTATAATTGCAAAATAAAGTCTTAAAACAAGGTGACAAAAGGGTACCTGCATAATGAACATTTGTATACCTAACTCTGAATCATACTCCACATGTTTTAAAAAAAAAAAACAGAAACAAAAAAACAGGTAACATTCAAAATATGTGGCCTATGCCTTAAAACCAACATAAAAATATATGTCAATAGATTGAGGAACTAGAGTTTGATATATATCTCTCTTTTTTTGGGTATCTGTCACTATGTTTTCCCATGAATATAACATAGTCTACAATAATAGCAGAAAACAGATTTCCTATTCCACTTTAGGAAGGTAACTGTAGTGTAAAGACTGCTGCTAAATGCAATCACCAGGAGGACCCTAAATATAACATCCTTGAAATATTAAAGTTCTTCAACTTAAGTAGTGCCACTGATATGTCAAGGCATTAAGAAATTTTAAATGCTTTACTCTTTGTTATCTATATCTTGAATCTGTCATTATTTTGGTATTAATTAGTAAATCCTTGTTATGCTAATTTGTAGAAGAAATGCTATAAAGAAATAGGCAACTCTAGCTGGTAAACATTTAAAAACTGAGTAATATGTAGATGAAAAATTGGTTAAATATGCTTGAATATACCAAATCTCAACAATAAATATATATCATCTATAAAATTATCAGCTGACTAAAAGTAAAAAAATTCTATACAAACATAAATATAAGTACATGTACAAATGTATATAAGTAAGTGATAGCTAAAGTTGCCTGACATTCTTTAGCTGAGCTTCAGAATGTTACATCAGAAACAGGTACATTTATGAGACAACCTTTCATGATTTTTAAACCTTATGTCACTTATATGTACTTTTTTGGTCTCTATAATATAGTTTAGCATTTTTGTAAACCCAAGCTTTTAAGATATTAAGATCTTATTCTTTGTACACTCCCAGTTTCTTTTGCCTTAAGACCCAATTTTCACAACCTCCTCAAACTTACTCCCTTAAGAAAGAAGGCCCAAACTCCTGTGGCATGGGATCTCTATGATCTGGTCCCAATCTGCCTTCCTAGTTTCATCTCCCAATACATTTCTCCCCACAGACTATTCCTTCATGTCTATGTTCACAATCCTTCTCTCTAAATTCTATCTAGCTGGATTCTTTTCACTTCTCAGGATTGAGATAAAAAGAAATCTAATCAACAAGGTCCTCTCTATCCCCAGATGCTATTCTTTGTATGCTACTTGTTCTTTATTTGACACTTGTTTTATCCTGCTGTGTATTTTAGTTGGTTACATGACTGTTTCTTTTACTAAGGTAATTACTGTTTCTTGTTTTTATATACTTCTCCAAGTAATCACATAAATATAAATAACCAATCCCAGGCAGACTGATGTACATTACAGTACTGTATATTGGAATACAGGAAGTCAAAGATTATTTCAATTTGTAGAAATACAAGAAAAGTTACTCAAATTAGGGAGAGGGGGGTGAAGAATTTTGCTTATAATTCCAACGATAAGTAAACCATAGGCATTTGTGAAAGAGAATAAAAAAAAATCTGTTACTAGTCAAGAAATGAACATAGGCAAAGGTATGGAAGCAGCAAAGTACGAACATGTGGGAGGAAGACTAAGTAAGTTGTTGTAAATGAAATTTAGAACTCAGGGAATTATAGCTGTAAGTGTAGATTGGGGCCTCTTTTAAGAGGCACTCTGCCTAGCTGTAATGAAGACAGACTTGGAAACAAACTTTAGATTTAAATCCTGTCTATGTGATATTGGTCAAATTGCATATTAATCTGCTCTTCTTTTGTAAAATGGAATTAATTTTACTTTGAAGTTATGAAATGAAAGGAATTAGCATCTGGCCCATTAATAGTCTTAAAATAAATACCAGTTTTATTATCCTTAGCTAAAGTGTTTCAATTATTTTATTATATGCAATGTTGGAAGATACCCAAGTACTGAAGTTATCTAACTGAAGACGGCATACAGGAGGGAACAGACATACTGAGACAGGGAAAGTTACTAGAAACTAGGGAGGCAGACATGACAGCAATCCATAACAACTGCATATTACCAAAATCTGTGCCTCTTGGCCAGCCACAGCTACCCTAATACCACTACTTTTGAAATGCATCATATGCTAAATATACTTAATCCTCAAATATCTAAGGTCTATTTTTGGAATCTATTGCAACCTGATCAATCTCTTCTGGTGTCAATACCATACGGTGCTTTATAATCTTTGAAAGGCTGATATGGCAAATCTTACTCTATTCATTCCTCCTCTATACTTACTCGTCTCAGAATAGTTACACATGAATCGTAATCATGTGTGCAAAACACTCCAAAAGTAAGTGAATCTTGCTGGGATTAAACCACCACTCTGAATTTAAAGATTAATTTAGAAATGACTGCTATCTTTACAATGCTTAATACTGCTATCCTAGGACTATTCTATTTCCCTCCATTTCATATAAATGTTTCAATTAATTGTGTTATTTCCTTTTATGGGTTTTACTTTTTGTTTTTTTGAATATTTTTAACCCACTACATTTTCTAAGCAATTAATTAGGAAAGCTTTGTTATAGGAAAGGTTTGAAAATTGAAATACAAAACTTTGGGGTAGCCATCTGAGCTCTTGTGGTTCTCAACATTTTTAGCAGTTGCTTTCCAGGTTTAGAATCTTATCATTCACAATTAGAATTCATCTTTTTTTTTTTTTTACAAATGTATCATTATCGTTATGATATGTAACATTATGTGGCAAGTCCCAAACAATGTTAAAATGATAATGACAGTACAAAATATTGGGTAACATTGTTTTGTTTCTGGTTTTTATTTTTAATTTTCTGAGTCAGTATCTCACTCTGTCACCTAGGCTGAAGTACAGTGACATGATTATAGTCACCACAGGCTTGACATGCTGGGCTCGGGTGATCCTTCTACCTCAGCCTTCCAAGTCTCTGGAACTACAGGCCCATGGTATGCCACCACGCCTGCCTAATTTTTTTTAAATTTTATTTATTGTAGAGAGGAGGTCTTGTTAAGTTGCCCAGGCTGGTCTCAAACCCCTGGGCTCAGGCAATCCTGTCACCTCCATCTCCCAAAGATGGAATTACAGGCATGAGTCAGTGTGCTTGGCTCTGGTTTCTGATTTTAATGGGAGTACTTTCATTGTTTAACCTTGGCAAGGGTGATGACTTTTGTTTGAGAAATATATAACATAAATATATTCACATAGATACACACAAATTCACACACACTTCCTGTTAAGGAAGCATTTGTTTATTCTTTTCTACTGTTTTAACTTTTGTGGATTTTAAGTTTTAGAAAGATGCTTTAGTTTTATCGATTTTACATTTTGGAAGCTCTATGATAATCATCATCTGCATTTTCTCCCCTGGGCTACTAATGTCATAAATTATAGTAAGAGATTTCCTAATACATATTCATTCTTATATTCAAAGAAGGAATATCATCTGTGCCTAATGAAAGTACTATTATTTCAGTGCAACGCTATATTTCCTACTTGTTAATTTATATGTTTTATATTAGCATCCACATGTGAGATTGGCATACAGCAGCAGTTCTCAAAAGTGGAGTCCAAAGACTCTTGAGTGTCCCCTAGATCCTTCAAGGGTCAGAATTACTAAGACATTATTTGTGTTTTTCAATGTGTTGACTTGCACATTGCAAAGTCAGTGGTGGGTAAAACTACCAGCACGTTGGCACAAAACTGTAGTAATACTCTTCAATATCATGCAGTTTAGCTTAAGAATGTACTTGTTGAAGCAGTGAAAACTATTTTTTATGACATGCATCATTATTCACCTTTATTATTAATATAAATATTCATGTTTATATTCACAATGTTAATACTGATATAATAGTATTTATATTTAACATTATATATGTAACATAATATTTAATACCATATTGGAATGATTATTCACAAATGAATTCTGCTGTATAAAAATTATTAATGTCATTAAATCCTGACATTTGATTACATATCTTTTTAATATTTTCTGTGATGAAATGGGAAATACTCCAACAAAACAGGACAGTTATCTTCAGGAAGTGCTTGTGTAATTTTTTTTCAGCTGTAAGCTAAAGTAGCTGCTTTCTTCACGGACCACTATTTTTACCTCCAAGAATAACTAACAAACTACAATTATTCAAACTTGGGTATCTGCCAGCCATTTTCTCAAATATGAACAAAGTCAGCTGACTTCAAGGAAAACAACTAACAGTATTTACTGGCAATTTGAAATTTCTAGAGAAAATAAGAATACTGGAAAACATATCCACCACATGAGTCTGACAGCTTCACAATAGTTAAAGGCTTTTGTGATGAGATAGTGGTGACAACCATTATATAATAAAATGTTACATTTGGAAAATCTGTTCAGTTAAGTGAACCAGTATTTTTCAGATGACCAATGCGTAATGTCAAAAATCATCACATAAAAGATCCACTCAAAGTGCAAGCCAGAACAATGGATTTCAATATAGCACAGTACAAAGTAGTCCTTCATACGATTTCAGATTACACATTACAGCTAATCTATAGAAAAACTACCACCTATCTAATTTCTGTGCAGTTTCTAAAAAGAGTATGTACAATTATCTAAAAGACTACTGAAAAATAGCATGCCAGATATAGGATCCAAATGACACTTCCTCTAAACCAGATTTAAAGATCTGTAAAAATGTAAAACAAATGCCACTCATGTCAACAACTTTCATTTATTTTAGAAAATATAGATTTTTAAAATTAAAAA